TAGAGGTGATCAGTGGACTTATATCATTGGCCGTCTGGAAATACAAATCCATAATGAAGACGCTTAACGATGAATTTTTGTTGAGATTTCGAACTTGGGAAAAGCACGCTTTGAAGGCGTTTGGTTCCCGAACAATAATGTTCGTACCATACCATAGTAACCACAATAATACTTAATAATAATAATAATAATATATAATAATTAACAATAATAATAATAAGTAATAATTCAACTTAATGACAGACAAAAGGCAGGTCCGACTGTATTCTTGAGTAAAGCACTATTGTGTGGAGATCAATAGTTGTCCCGACATTTACGGTAAGAAGTGGGAAGAATGCTACACGCATGATATAACAGATTAAAGACTACGAACTGTAAGGGACACACGTGTCTCTTGATAAAAACGATTCATTGGTAACGAACGACTCGAATAACATCTTTGACAGAAGTTAAGCATCCATCGATTACTACACTGCCTTACGTTAAAGAGGACTTTTTTTTAACCTGTTCTGCGCAGATAATGAACCGAGCATTGACGTCTATGTTTATTTATCGTACGAAAATGACACATTACTTGATTTGGATTTTAAACCTTTACATAAGCAGCGGAAGAATTTGTTATGGTTTGATCAAAGCATTTTTTTTCTGAAGTTGGATGCGCAGTTTCATCGAATATCAAAATCTAACTATTTACACCAATCTCAATCGCAACACACTGGCCGCGGAGTACCAGAGGCTGTGGAGGCAGATTTTTGTTACTTTCTCGCGTTATTTCAGGCAGATACAGAAGTAGCGTCACCAACAAGCTTTCCGGTCTGCTTCACACAGGGCGACGTGGTTGTGCTTTTACGAGCGTTTAAGTTTCACTCCGGAGGAAGGCAGGCCGAGAGCCGCGCTGGCGCAGCGAAGGTGGGGGAAGGGGGCGCTTCCGGTTCTCAGGCGGCGCGGGGCAAAACGGAGGGGGGTGGAGGTGGAAGCCCATTCGACCCATGTCAGCGACACTTCCCGCAGGACTGGCGAAGGTTTGGAAATTATAGCTCCAAACACGGTTGGGGGGGCCAAAAATAACGTTCGCGTTTTCGTGTAGCGAGGGAAGGTCCTATCAACTGAAACAGATATGTGAGATGGGAAATGTACTTCTTGCAGGATTGTACGATAAAAACTTATCTCAATTTTAAAGGTAAACATTTGTAAATTAATCAGCAGGTGTACTTGAGATATTTGAAAAATATATATTTTTTTTAATCTTATAAAACTTTAATTGTTTTCAGAAGCTACATTTGCGAATTATTTACGGTGCCATTATGTCTGTTTATATCCAGTGTACACCTACGATGTTCACTGAGAATAGTGAATTTCATAAAGAAAGTTTGGTATAATCATATTCATGATTCAATCTGTAAAAAAAGAAAAATACAACTTTCCTTTGTAGTATATGAATTTAAGGCCTTGCCTAATATTTTTTTGTAAATAAGAATAAATTAAATTACGAATACTGCTTATATAGTTTTTTTAACTTTCAGTGTTTGGAATTTCAATTCACTTGGAGAATTTCATAGCATGTAAGTATTTTGGTTGAAATTTTGTTCAACAATAAACTTCTCTGGCGCATCATAATTAACCTTTCATAAAATTATTATATGAATAAACATAAATACTATATAGTTATGTATATTATATAGAGCTCAGCCCAGATAGTCCTATGCCACATTGTCGTTAAAAACAAGATACTTTCTAATTAACATACTCGTCCCATCGAGTGGTGTATTTTGTGAGAATTGTAGCGCGTGTAACAAATGCCGCTGTTGTCGGAGACATCTACAATTCTTTTGCCACAGCATAAAGAAGTAAGATGAAATATTTTTTATTATTTCAGAATTAAACTCGATGTGGAACGGTGCTATCTAGGGCAGGGTTGTCAGCTGGCAGATCCGCAGTACCGTTTATTGTAGCCGCCCGGCGAAAGGTTATTAGTGAAAAGTGAAAAGTATCTTTCATTCATATTGCCTGTACCGCCTGCGCAAGGCCAATCGCCTTTTTTACATGTTAAAAAAGTTTGGTTTAGATTTTATTGGATTTTTTTCTAAGTGACTTCAGAACATTCAAAATCCCAATGAGTTTCATGGGATATAAATGGTACAGTCTGATAAACATGTTTCACCCTCCGTCACTGTTTCAAGAAGCAGACTTTAACTGCAGAGTAATGCAACATTACGGGGAAGTCAGGTATGGATCGCCCGAGTAATGTAAATATGAACCTAACCATTTTAAAGGTTTTAGTTGGTGGCCGGCATGAGGCCTTGCAAGTTCGACAGCGCCTGCTCTAAAGGCTTAGCACTTGAATAAATTTTATGTGTGAAAAACCTTTTTTTTAAAGTTTGAGTCCGATCTCGAAGTACTACTTCGGAGGTAGAGAGACAATTCCTAGTTTTTACACTCGACGCTCCAAAAAATTTAAATTGATAAAAGCATTTAAAAAATTATTAAGCTAAAAAACTGTAACTCGTATGCAAGAAATGCTCTTTTTGGTGCGTTTCGACGTTGGATTCGTTGGTCGGTTATTGATTCGCGGGCGCGTTAACTACCAAGGTCATTATTTTCCGTAGAGTAAGTGCAGCGGTTTTTCGCTGGGAGGTGGCAGGAATCTTCCCCCCCGCTGAGTGGCGAATCCGGCGCCGACCTACCGTCGGTAAAGCGAGGTTTCCGCTCAACCACGTATCTCCCAACAGCGGAGCACCGCTTCAGGCCAAAGCTCTAAACTCCTGACCGGTCTCCGGCATGTATGGCAGTGTGTACTTGTTATGGTAAGTGTATAAGGGGATGAGGCTACTACTAGGAAGAGAAAGAAGAAAGAACGCGCGCGGTCGCTGTGCCGCGTTTGTTATGGTAGCTGCTCCGGCATTAGCCTAAGTGTTGCTCAGAGAAACGCCCAGAAACTGCCGACCGAGGAGCCGGCCCGGTCCGAAACTCTTGCCACTGTCAGGACTATAACCTAGAACGCTCCCGGTCAGAGGCACATCGTGACATCGGTTGCGACGATTAGAGTGAATGTTTTAAAGCGATTTGAGTAAATTAACAAAAACTATTTACTTGGGGAGGTATGTTTGGGTTCCACATACCCCATCTCACCCTGAATACTCTAGTAACGTCCAAGTACAATTTTTAACCTGTTTGTGAATGTTAAATAAAATATATTTCACGGTGCCTAGCCCCGAAAATTAATCCTCACTGCAAAGGCCCCTGGGTTGACCGCCCGATGTAAAATCAAAGTACTCCACATGTGCGGCCGCGGCGTCGTAGAAAAGTGCAGGCCGCGGTACTGCTTGACGGCCTCGGCCGTGTAGATGGGCAGCGGCTTGTAAGGGTTGACGGAGACGAAGCACCTGGCCGATGTAGGTGTACGATGAGGTCCTCGCGGAAGCGCCTGGCAGGTTTCGACGAAGGCGGGCCTCGCTGCGGAAGTCTCGAGCAGCACGAAGTCCTGCACCGCCACGCGGTCGCGGGCCGCCAGCTTTCCGCTCGCATGACGGAACGCGCGCTCGCCGCCTTCCCTGCGCACACGCGGAACACGCCGTCAGCTCTCCACGCAAGTAACTGTCTTATATCGGAGCAGACAGTACGTTAAATGGTGTGAACAATTTGGAATGAACATGATTCTTTATATAGAGAGAATCGCTATAAGAAGGGACACCTTTTTACCGCTTACTGCTTGCCACCGCTAGCAACATGGTTATGGCCGGTTTGTTCATGCGTCGTTTTGTCGGTGCGTTCGTTTACAGCTAAATTATTTGTAAATGGCTTGCATCACTCTTGAAATGTCATCGCCTCTTGCATGGCGTTCATGTCATTGTTTCCCGACGTGTCAAAGTGGTCCTTCTTAGAGCACTCCTCTATATCAAATGAGGAGGGGACGAAGTGATTTCATCAGTAATGATGAAGTTGCGATTTATGCTTTTACAAAGTGCATGGACTTCTCTGGCCGAACAAAAATGTGAGTGGTGTTGTCAGACAATCAGCGTTGGCGTGAACGTCTTTAAATTTGTGTACTTTTACGTTCATGCTGAATTGAAGATCGATGTTCAAACTAAAAAAGCAGAACGAAACAGTCGAAGACGTTCATATTATTGTGCAAAAGGCAGCTTTTAAAATGAAACTTAATAACTGGAGGAAAGCGGAAGTGGCGCTAATGGTGTTGGGAAATCCTACATCTTTGAAGAGTGATGCCTGTTTTCTCAAACGTGCCGAGTTGTTATTTTTTTGGAAAATAACAAACGCTGTTTAACCGTTAAGCACTATAATTTTTTATAAGGTTTCTCCTTGAAAACCAACTGAAATAATACACTTCGATGAAATTAAAGAAACAAGTCAATTAAAATATTTGCGCAGATGAAATACGTACGAAAAAGAGTTAAATGAATCTCCCCCCTTCCGCCGCGCCTGCGGGAGGGCCTTGGAAGGCTGAGCCCTTCTCCGGGCCTGAAATTTGAATTCGAGAAAGTTTGTTTCTGTCAGACAACTTGCAGCTCAGGGTCGTTCATAAGTTAAGGTGCCCAGACGTCTCCAAAAAATGAATTAAATTTTTTAAAAATCCAAGATTTTTAATGAAAATACAAGTTTAAAATTGACTAATTAGTAAATCGAACCTCCATTTTTTTTTCGAATGTATGACATATCACAAATTTGGAGCCCACTTTTGAAAAAAAGGAAATCTTGTTTACATATATATGGACGTCTTTTGCGCAATTTTAAATATAATAATTTTTTACGTTGCAAATCATTTTAATTGTTTGCAGCTCGGGCACTTTTTTTTGGGGGGGGGGGGGGGGGGTACCGGCTAGTTTCATGTCGCACGAGAACGAATTCTTTAGCGAATAGATGGCGGTTAGCTTTTGTAGACAGCTGTGCACAAAAAAGAGAGAGACTTTAGGCTGAGGGCAGCCACTGAAACAAAAATCAGACATGGCCCGTAAAATTTTAGCAACGATCAATACTGGCCTCAATATGTCCAATAGTTTTCCTCACACCATTCCAGAGCCAATCCGAGTACAGTTAAATCACTAACAGATTTGAGTCAATCAACTTGTTTGGTGGCTGATCTACGCACCGGTCCCGGTCTCATATTACAAACGCATCCCCACACCGTGGTCCTCCGGAAGCTGCGAAGTATTACAACAGAGAAGAGGTACAAGGGTGCGGAAGAAGCGCTTCCCGTCGCCTCGGGTACTCTCGCTTACAATCAGGAAAGTGTGCCTCGCGCCCCCTTTTTTTGAGACTTTCTCAGTTTCCTGGTCGTTTTCCTATATTATTCCAGACAGAATTTGCTCACTATTTTCATGGTACAATGAATATATTGCATAAACACAAGGCTTGGATCGATTATTAAAATTATCTATGATTTTTCTTCCATGGCAAACATTCTCTCGGCGCTAACGACCATTTGTGAGAAAGTCAGAACAACACGAATCTAACCCACTTCGTGCTCTATTAATAATATTGATTTAACGGAATAATATCTCATTTGTCTCCAAGCATTCCACTTGCCTCTAATGATTTTTCTTAAATATCCTGATTCCCGCCTGACTTTTTCTGCTCTTAGCAAAATGTGGACCACTGTAATCTCCCATCATTGGATTTTGCACTCTCACACTGAATCACAGTGCGTCGGCTGATGCGAACAGTTCATGTTTGCCACCGGAAGACAAATCAAGTTATTCTTTTTCACGCAAACTAACGGAGAGATCATGTTGTTGGCTTCGTTTGTCGGCCGGTGCGAAGAGCCACCTGCGAACGGAAGGCGGGGCGGGGGCGGGGGGCGAGGGGCGGGGGCGACCGTTGCGTAAGGCCTCCAGTGGCCTTGCGCGGAGAAAAGGCGGTCCCGGTGGACATCCCACGAAGCGTCTGTGCTCGCACCAGCCACATGCGACCTCTGATGCACAACGGAGACCCTGAGGCACCAGCGGACGCAACGGATATCAAGCCAACAGGGATTTTCGTTTCAATTCAAATGCGCTGACTCATGACTTATGTATGGTTCAAATATGAACAATAACAAACAAATGGGGATAATATTATCGCGAGGGTACTTTAACTTGACCTTTGGCCTTAAAACAATATGTAGATCAGCAACTGTACCTGCTCTTAGAGACTGAATTCGAAGTGAAAATTAACATATTTTTCATTGTAATGGTAATTGCTGCTAAAAGCATACTCAATCTCACTTCGATTCTCTCATTCATTCTCTACAATATATTCACCTGCAGGCATTTACTGAACTAATAAATTCAACATCTCATTATACGCAGTTTTGATTCAGCTTTATTTTACCTGAATACTCATTTTTCCAAACCAGCATCCTCATCCCAGCAACATGACCTCACCAGTTGTATTTAATGGACCGGAAACAGGAAGAGCAAAGGTGAACAGAGAGAAACGGCACAAGCTAAAATATTTCAATGATACGACTACCAAACGCTACTATACTGATCCCCTCGGCAAGTTAAAAAAATAAAAAATAATGATAACTTGAGAGGCCAAGTAACATCACTTTGAAACATTCAAGTGATATGTATTTGACAAGAAATTAAAATATGGGAGGTCTAAATTACTAATTTCGGAATGGGCGTAGAAATTGACAGTAAAGAATACTGGCCTCCAGCCGGGCCATGTGAAAGGTAATCTTATTTGATTAAATCACCCGCCCCCGGGGGGGGGGGGGAAAAAAAAAACATTTTGGAGGCAGGGTTCATACGGGCGAACCCCGCCCCCCCTTTTTTTTTTTTTGCCCCGCCCCGGGGGGGGGGGGAAAAAAGAGAAAACTTAGTGAAACACCAGGATCTCGGGAAAAATAGAAAAACAAGTAAACAGTTTTCACTAAAAATGCAATTATTTGATTGTTATTCCGCATATTTTCTAACTACGCTAACTGGCTGAAGTTTCATAGTGTGCTACAGCTTTTGACATTGTTGACGCATTGAACATCAAAGTTTCAAGAATGAGGGCTGCCATTAAATATTTGTCATTCACGTGTTTCGTTATAAAACGGCACTTTTGTAGATATTATTAATATGAAAAGAACTGATGTACTTTTCACATATTAATGATATTGCAGTATTTGTAAAATGGTTTAGTTGAAATATTTAAATAATTGCAATGTTATACGAGAATATTTTAAGAGTATTTGCTGTTGTTGGGCAGTGTTGGGCACGCAACTTTCGGTAAACCATTTTGTGTTTTTGTTCAGCACTTTTCGTTCTGATGCAAGCTATAGTGTCATAATAAAGCAACTAACAAAGCATATACAAACATTACAACAAATGAATCAACCCTTAACTTCAGAACATCATTAAAACAGAATGTGGATCCCCTGTATTGAAAATCATATGACTAACTTGACTTACGCACTTTCTGTTTGGAAAATGTGTCTCAAAGTACTTTTAAATATTAAAAAATATCGTAAATAAAAATTCTAAACAAATTATCAATGCGCAATGATTCATTTAAACATCTCAAATATTAAAGACCTTAACGTGCAGCTCCAGTGAATTCTGAACAGAACTAAAACGTATTTTCGGAATGCATGAAGTAGCAATGATTGGAATGTTCTCAAGCTAGTCTCTATCAATACAGATCATAGAATAGAGACAATAAATGAATTAAAGGGGAGATAAAAACGATGTTCCAAACCCAAACAAAATCTGGAATGGACCCTATAAATCAAATGGTTTAAAATCCACCACAAATAAACAACCCATGAGGCCTCTTGCTTTTTTGAGAAGGAACTTTTCTGGACAAATTAGAACTTGCACAACTGCCTCTCTGGAGAAACTTCCCGCATCCCTCACGGGATGCATCGGAACTTCTATAAAATGTTGAACACTTCAAAAGATTTCTAAAGAGCACAACCTAAACGGTGAAGAAACCTAACTATGTTCAGTCAGTTTAAATGAAGATGCGAAATTAGAAAACTAGAATTGGACAGAAAAGAATGCAAAATACGCCATCAATCACGATATCGAAAGACTTCGACTATGCAATATTTGGCACCACACACCCGCATAGCTCAGCCCACGACACCCACTAAGAAGTTTCCACGTATAGTTCACACCGCCCTAACTCCACGCCGCCCGGTACTTATCCCGCTACATTCAAAGTCCATGAGACACCTAGCGTGCGCTCGGGCATGCTCCATTCCGCCGATGCCTTGAGCGCCTCAACAGCGCGACATAGAAACTCGCGAGGCGCGGAGCGAATCGTCAGGGCTCAGTTTACATATCCAAAGCACTGCGTTCGCACGCCGGAAGCGCGAGCAGGAGAAACGGTGAAACGAAAGCAATATTACGTTAACGACGCAGAAAGAATGCGGCGAACGGTAGTGTGCTTTCGCTGCAGTTGCGACGAAAGCGAAAGCGAAGCTTAGCGACGATTCTTCTCCCACGCGGTCGCCGGCGACTACGCCCCCGCCAATGGAGCGCGCGTTGGCTCGGATCAGCGGCGACTCGTACCTTAAGGGCCGCTGGTTCACAAATTATCACACGAAAACTAGAACCCTGACCCAGCATCTGTGCCCAGAAATCCCGGCACTACTAGGCAACCTATGAATGAATGCATGCAAGCTCTAATACAATACTGTTATAGAAGTTCTACGGCGGACTGACGTATTTGTTTGTTGTTGTTTTTTCACACTTCTTGTATGTAGGAATTGTGGAAACTTAAAGAATATAATTTAAAACATTTTTCGCAGAAGTGCCACATTATTTTATCTAATTTAAAATGAAGTATTCACTTGCAGAGCACTTTTAAAAACATGATTACTGCCTTCACGTAATGTGAGTGATGAACGTTCACCGATCAGGAGCTGCCTACCTGCGGTGATAATATATCCATGCAAAGAATTTTAAAAAACGAAATAAATTTTAAAAAAGCGAGATTTCTAAAATTTCTCCGCGTGTCCCGATCAGCATGGGGGAGCGAACGTCGCGTTATCGACATATGTCACGCGGTCAGTGAACTCAAGGTGCCGTTTTCTTTCTTGCGGGGACGTCTGGTTCGATCCCCGTCTCATTGCTATTTTGTGTGGTGCGAGTCGCCACACACTGAATTGCACTTCACCTCCACACGCACTGACATGCACACTCACTCACGCACACAAACACACGCAGCAGCTCCGACCGCACTTGACTCAGCTCACTGGGAGTATCAGCAGCCGCGAACGCGTGGGCGCGGGCGCAGGCGCGGGCGTGGGCGTGGGCGTGGGCGTGGGTGCGGGTGCGGGCCGGCGTCCTTTCGAGTGGCTGCACTGCGGCTGCGGCGGGCTCTGCGCGGCGACTGTCTGCCCCGGCTGCGCTTGCGCAAAGGCGAAAGCGCTCGCATCTGCCCGCGCCTTCCGCCCGCCCCACGCGCCGTGCCGCCCCGCCCCGCGCCGCGCCACCCAGAGAGATTGGGGCAGGCGCCGCGAAGTCCCCCTCCTCAGCGCCTACCGCGTTCGCCCAAATTCCTCCAGCCTTCAAGGGCAGCGATGGCCACGCACCAATTCGAATTCCTATCTTAAGACCTTTTCACTGAGTATGAGGAAAGCCCACCTTTCTGTCGCACAACGACAGAGGTATGCACGGAGGTCAAATCAAGCAACTAGGCGTATGTCGCCAACCTACGGATGTATGCCATCTACTTTATAATGCTGTTATGTAGTACGTAAGACCTTATGTGAAATATGAGGCATTAAAAATGGATGTTATTTACATACGTTTATTAACAAAAAAATTATGCCGAATTATGGAATTAATCTGTTTTTCAACAGTCGTTTCGCACAAAACGATCATGATTAGGTCACACTTAAAATAAATAATTCATTTGTAGTAAACTTCAAGAAAATATGTTCATAATAAATCCTGATATGTGCTACTTTCCTGAGGTAACTCAATATAACCAAGATCTGTCTTTACTAAAATTCTCTCGTATTCGTCGTGGAATGCCGGAGAGAGCGACCGGCCGATCGTGAGCGACGCGTTGCCGCTCCAGGGAATTTACCATTTGAGTGGAGACGAACAACACAGCTCTACTTCCTCGGTGCCCTAGGAAGCAAATTCACATTCACATTACAGACGACGGAAGAAATCGTCTCCGGCATTCGATCTGTCCTGGTTCACCGTAGAAGAGAAGAACAAGAGGTCACCCTGGCTAAACGAAGGGACCGGGCCCCTCCGCGAGGCACACGGGCAGCGAAGGCTTCCGATTCGGGCCGCCGGAGGTCGCGTCGCGCCTTCGCATGCGGAAGTGCGATAAGCGCCCACTCCACGTTCGGGGGGCGCGGCTGCTCGCCACGGTCCGTGCGCACCGCTACGTGCACCGATAGGCGCTTTTCAGCACACAGGGCCACGTCTCGGGGGATTGAGCTACTCGAAAGTTCTCGAGAGGTAAAGAAATACGTCTAGAACTGAACTAACACATGCGATTCGAACTCGGTATTGGAATAAAATAGCGACTTTCTGCCTTCACATTAGTCAGTAGTATGTCATACACGGACAATATTAAGCAAAGCGCTCATTATTTCACAACCGGATCTAGGCTTTGTGTTAGCTACACTGAGCAGAATGTATCCGGAATCTATGACGAGTACGTATAGCCTGGGAGTTCAGTTTAGTAATTTTTCTTTTGAAGAAAATGTGATATTGCACACACATATATATATACATATACATATATATATACATATA